GATGGATCCTCCGAAAAAGTGAGCATCAAACCGCCATGTTTGTTTTCCCAGTGGGATGCGTCTATTTTCAAAGCCGAGCTTTTCAAGTCTTTTGAACCATATCACTTTTGTTTCTGGTTCTGATATTGTCATATTTTAGTTTTGGGATTCGGACGTTGTAATTGTGTGGTTGTTGGATCCTAAATGAGGAAAACGGCTCGAGAAATGGGCTTCGGAAGTTTTCGAACATAACTACAAAAGTGAATCAGATGTGTGTGACTGCAAACCTCCATTCAAACTGTTTCCCTTCCCAACGGAATTGAAAAATAGTGAAAGGCGAAGGCGATGGACAGGATTGATCCACAGGAAGGACGAAAAACAAATCCTTTGGCTGCCTAAATCATCCAGAGTTTGCAGTGAATATTTGTATGTGGAGCTCCATCAAAGCAAAATCACGATTATGAATTTAAAAAGTCAACGCCAAAGTGAAAGGCACCAACTGTTCACCAAGAAACACCTTCCACTGCAAAGAGACCAAGACGTGATGTTGCTGTAAAACCACAAGAACAAGAAAGTGCAGCTCAGTCTGTTTGTCTTCTGCTCCTCTCACTTAACAAACGGGATTTTCAGCATGAAATGTCAGTTAATAAATTTCCCCCAAAAACTGCGACTTATAATTTCTTCTTCATTATGCATTTCTTGGCTGGTGCGACTTATACTCCGGAGCGACTTATAGTCCAAAAAATACAGTACTCTTCCCTGATCTATGTGAGCCCTGATACTTTCCAGAAGGTAACAGAAAGCTAAGTCTGTTGAGTATTTTTGTCTAAATCCAAATCACATTGGGTGTAAAAGAGAGTTTGAATCAAAGTGTGAGGTAAGTCGCTCTGTCACAACCTTCTCAAACACCTTTGAGGCAACTGTTAGGAGGTTTATAGAGCGATAATTGCCAACATCTTTCCTGTCACTCAGTTTAAAAATAGGGGTGACTGGCGCAGATTGGGCAGCCAGGTTTCCATCAGTCTGTCCTAGGGCAGCTGTAGCGGCAGTAGTAACGTACAACCAGTGAAGTGAATGTAGTGCTGTCACGAAACTAAAAATTCAAACTTGTTTTCAATACTAAGATTTCACTACCACAATGCTAATAAAAAACACACTTTATTTAGACAACAGAATTTGATTTTTATTGTTAAATCATAGTAATTTCTTTATTATTCCCATGTGGTCTTATATGGGGCTGGGTATCATTATGAAGTCTCCGATACGATACATACCTCGATCAGTACGATATATTTCAAATCAATTCGATACAGTTCAATAAAAAATAAAACCTAACTCATGGCTGTCTTTGTTAAACCACTTGTTGTGCAAAGTTAGTATGAAACACAAACTTTTTAATCATCAAAATAGAAAATATATCAAATGTGTCGCCTAAAAAAATTTTCCTTCCTCTGAACAAGCAAAAAAATGTAGCGCTGTAACAAAATAATTTAATAAAATATACCAAAACAACACGCTTGACTATGTATCGATACAGCAGTTCACAATACTGATACTGTATCATCACATTAAACAATACGATATGTTAAAATATATATTTTTGCACACCTGTAGTCTCATATCTGTGTAATCCCTGGAGCTTTTTTCAAGACAGCTAGAGCGGTGCCAGTTCCTGCACCAGTTACACTACGAACCAAAGCGCTCACCGGTGAACGAGTCGTGCTCATACCAGAAAACACGATGAAGCCACACCCGGAGTTACTGAGTGCGACAGAATGGAAAATAATAAAATACGAGGTCACTGAGTGCGCCACAGTGATCTGTCAGTCAACCATCTTCCAGAGAAAACAGGTCGGGGAGATTGATGCTTTAATCAGCGAACTTTAACTTTTCAAAGTAAAGTTTTTGATCCTCAACTTTCAGTGACTTAGAGTAAGATGATGAAGTCACGTCAAATCCGTGTCATTCGTTTATTCGTTTTTCAATATAAAACCAGAAATAAGAAAGCAAAAAAACTAAAATTTTCTTCATTATTTGTCTCTAAAACCAAAATGGAAAAACTGATAATGATTTGTTTTTTCAGTTTTCAATTTTGTGTTTAAATGAATAACCAGGACTGAACCAGGACTAAAACAGGTTCAGGACCAGACTGGAACTGAGACCAGGACTTAGACCGAGACCAGACCGGGACCAGGACCAAGACTGAGACCGGGAACAGGACCAGGACTGAGACCAGGTCTAAGACCGTGATTGAGACCGGGACTGAGACTGGGACTAGATCGGGACCAGACTGGGACTGACACCGGGACTAGACCAGGACTGAAAACAGTTCAGTCCTGGTTTATTCAGTTTAAGTCACAAACGGGACATGTCTGTTCTCAGTTTTTTCATTTTGGTTTTGGAGACAAATAGAACAGTTGTTTTTTCGTTTTCTTATTTTTGGTTTTATATTGAAGCACGAATGAATGAATGACACACGGATTATATCAAAACTATAAAATGAAAAATCAGCTTCAAAATAACACAAGTTATATGACAAACCATTTTAACATTTGAACACTAAACTGGATATACATACATATATATATATATATATATATATATATATATATATATATATATATATATATATATATATATATATATATCCACACTCCACAAGGATCTACAGTACAGACATTGGGATGTCATTCGGGCTTGAGAAATGTAGCAGGATGGTGACAAAGAGAGGGAAGGTAGTCCACACAGAGGGGGTGTCACTCCCAGAGGGAACAATAGCAGACGTTGAGGACAGTTACAAGTACCTTGGTATCCCACAAGCAAATGGCTCCTCGAAGAGGCAACAAGGAAAGCGGCTACGGCCAAATACCTGCAAAGAGTGAGGCAAGTCCTTAGAAGCAGCTCAATGGCAAGAACAAGGTGCAGGCAATCAACAGCTACGCCCTGCCAGTGATCAGATACCCTGCAGGAATTGTAAGCTGGCCAAAGGAGGAGATACAGACCACAGATGTTAAGACACGAAAGCTCCTGACCATGCATGGAGGGTTCCATCCCAAATCCAGCACCCTGAGACTGTACGCAGGCCAGAAGGAAGGAGGCCGAGGACTAGTGAGTGTGGGAACCACTGTCCAGGATGAAACATCCAAGCTCCTTGAGTACATCAAGGACAAGGCCCCGGCAGATGAGGTGCTCAGAGAATGTCTCAGACAGTGGGGTCCAGAGGAAGAGGTGCTGGAGGGACCATCATGGCAGGACAAACCCCTACATGGGGCGAAACCACCGGAACATAACTGAAGTGGCTGATATCAAGAAATCCTACCAATGTCTTGAGAGGGCTGGTCTGAAGGACACACAGAGGCACTGATCCTGGCTGCTCAGGAGCAGGCCCTGGGCACTCGAGCAATAGAGGCCCAGATCTACCACACCAGACAAGACCCACGGTGTAGACTGTGCAAAGAGGCTCCTGAGACAGTCCAGCACATAACTGCAGGTGTAAGATGCTGGCAGGGAAAGCAAACATGGAGCGACATAACCAAGTGGCGGGCATAGTGTACAGAAACATCTGTGCAGAGTACGGGCTGGAAACCCCAGGATCAAGGTGGGAAACACCTCCAAAGGTTGTGGAGAATGACTGAGCCAAGATCCTGTGGGACTTTCAGATACAGACGGACAGGATGGTGATGATGATGATGATTTGTTAAGATAATTTAAGGGTCCTGTTGGTGCATCACTCGTGGTCATACTGGTCTCATATTTACTTTGTTTTATGGTGTTTGTTTTATGTGCTGCTTTGTGTTGTGTCGTCCTGTTTTTTTGATAAAACATGTGACCCCCTGTCCCAAGACAAATTTCTCCCATGGGAGACAATAAAGGATTATCTTATCTTATCTTAACTTATCTTACCTTATCTTATGAACCAACTAAACATAGTGGTGGTGGATAAGAAACAGAGCAGAGCCGTGGTGGGTGGACATCACAATACCAAGCGATGGTGATATCAGGAAAAAGGAACACGAGAAACTAGAGAAATACCAGGGGCTCAAGGAAGGAGCTGGAGAGAGCCTGGAAAGTAAAGGCATCAGTGGTGCCTGTGGGTGACTGGAGCACTCGGGGCTGTAACCCCCAAACTGGAAGAGACACAACAGATACCGGGAAAAACAACGGACATCTCAGTCCAGAAAAGTGCAGTACTGGAACAGCAAAGATACTGCGCAGAACTGTCAAGCTCCCAGATCCTCTGGTGGACGACCCGAGCTGAATGAGGGTGAGAGACCAACCACTGTGGAAGGTGAGAAACACATTTATATATATATATGTATATATATAAAAAAAAAATGTGTTTCTCACCTTCCACAGTGGTTGGTCTCTCACCTTCATTCAGCTCGGGTCGTCTACCAGAGGCCTGGGAGCTTGAGAGTTCTGCGCAGTATCTTTGCTGTTCCAGTACTGCACTTTTCTGGACTGAGATGTCCATTGTTTTTCCCGGTATCTGTTGAAGCCACTCTCCTAGTTTGGGGGTTACAGCCCGAGTGTCCGATCACCACAGGCACCACTGATGCCTTTATTTTCCAGGCTCTCTCCAGCTCTTCCTTGAGCCCCTGGTATTTCTCTAGCTTCTCGTGTTCCTTTTTCCTGATATTAGCATATATAAATAAATAAATAAATATATATATATATATATATATTTATTTATTTATATATATATATATATATATATATATATATATATATATATATATATATATATATTATATATATTTTTTTTTTTTTTATAAATTGTGTGAAGGCCCGGTGTCAGGACACTGTTGATGTCAATTGATTTGTGCTAATAAAAGTTTTTTTAAAATGTATTAAAACAAAATTAATTTTTTAAAAAATTAATTAAAAAAAAACGCTTTGTCATGGTTAGGCTATTATCATCGGCGCCGCTCCGCTCCGCTCTAGCTCCTCGCGCTCTGATTGGTCAAAGCGGTCACGTGGTACATGAGACGGCGCTCCGTGCGTGCCCTCTCGTGCAGTCGCGCGGGTTCACACGGGGACACCTATAAGTGGTCGCGCGCTCAAAACATTTGCAAAGTGAATTTCTGCTGAGTCATGGCGGAGGGAGTGGATTTACCGCCGAATATAAACACGAACATAAGGAAACGGACGTCACAGTGAAGAAATACCGACACCCGCGAGAGTTTGTGCTCGTTTAAGTCGTTATTTATCTGCTGTGGAGACGGAGACAGCGATGCCCAGTCAAAAGATGTAACTTCACCAGCTCGGATACAGCAAATATTCAATCTCCTCCTCTGACCGCTGCATCTTCTTCTCACTTGATTTCTCCTCCATTTTCCACCACACTTTGTTTATTACTTTGTTTATTTTAGCACGTGTGACCAGGATGAATCTGCTCGCCTCTGCTGTTTTACGTGGGTCTCGTCGGGAGCCAAGTTTTCGGTTCCTGAACGCGCTGATATCCGGAGTGAACGTGTCAGGAGCGGGACTCAGCACCAGCTCGGTTCTCAATGGTCCAGGTAGGTTCCATAGTTGGTCCATGAGTTTATACAAGTCTGTGTGCTCTTATATTTGCTCTAAATCAGATCAAGATCTTTTCTAAACACTCCAGGAAAGGTTCACTTCTGTCCTGTGAATGTGACTTTTCTAGTATCGATACCAGTTTTAGTATAAACAGAGTTGGGGAGTAACAGATTACATGTACCGGAGTTACGTTATCAGAGTAACTGTATTTAGTTACAGTTACTGTTTCAGTGAGTGGTAATTGGATTACAGTTACTTTGTTTGAAATAAATGGATTACACGGCGGGATTTTTTCTGTTTCCACATTTCGGGCTATATCCTTTTTTTTTTTTTTTCTCGATAATTCCACTCATTGCCGGACACTAAACTAGGTCCAAACCAGGTCTAAAACCAGGTCTAAACCAGATCTAAATCAGGTCTAAATCAGGTCTAAACCCAGTCTAAAACCAGGTCTAAAACCAGGTCTAAAACCAGGTCTAAACCAGGTCTAAAACCAGGTCTAAAACCAGGTCCAAAACAGGTCTAAAACAGGTCTAAAACAGGATTTAACAGGACTAAATCCTGCTGTGTGGACCGTGTTTCCTCGTCTTCTATCAATAATATTTTTAATTTGGTTCAGTAAAGTCTGGTCTTTTTATTTTCTTTTAGCAAATAAAAGTTCTTATGTTACGATTTCCTCGTCTTTGCTTCTCTACAGCAAATCAAGTAATCCAAAGTATTCAGATTACATTACTCACTTTAAGTAATTTAATGAATTCTGTTACAAACTACATTTTGGTGTATGTAATCTGTAATCTGTAGGGGATTACATTTTAAAAGTAAACTTCCCAACACTGAGTATAAATTAGTATCTGAGTTAGTGAAGGAATAATGCATGAAACTGTGAAGCGACTCTGAGTGCCTGGAAAAAAAAAAAAAAAAAAACTTTGTGTATATAAGACTCATGATGAGGCAGATGCAGTCTGTGTGTGCACCATTGTTTTCAAAAGTCCATAACTCGTCTAAGCAGGGCTGGGTATCGTATCAGAAGTTGCCGATACGATACATATCTTGATACATAAGCCACGATACAGTGAGCTTTCGATTCAATACGATATATATTTCAATTCGGTTCGATACTGTTCAGTAAAAATAAAGGCTAAATCATGGCTGTGACACTAAAAGTCTTTGTTTGTGCAAAGTGAATATGAAACACAAATATTTTAATCATCAAAACAGTGAAAATGTCAAATGTGTCGCATAAACAAGTTTCCTTCCACTAAATAAACAACAAAACTGTAGCTGTAACAAAATAATTTAGTAAAATATTCCAAAAAATACTCAATAACGATACGATATTTCGATATATTTGTACACCCCTTCCTCTAAGATACATATTTGTAAATTAAAGTAAATAAATAAATTAGAAATAACTTTATAATATAATATTTTTTGAGAGAGAGAGAAATGCTGAATAAATGCATCGTGTAACAAAAAATTGCAAATCATGACTTGGACTCGAGTCAGACTCGAGTTACTATTTTTAGGACTTGAGACTTGACGTGATGGACTAAGATTTGGACTTGAAGGTCAGTGACTTGAAGGACACTTTTAAATCTGAATTCTTTCTATTCTGAGTGTAATGATTCACACTAAGATCTTGTCAAAACATTTAAAAAGGAAAAAAAAATGCATTTCTACAACTTTTATATATATAAATATATATATCTATAAATACTCATGAATAAATATACTATGATTTTTTTTAAGTACAGTTTAGTTTAAAATTCATATAAATTGCAAAAATCTAAGCTACATTTGGTATGTTGGTTTAAAGACTTGAAATGTCTTGAAGCTCAAAACAGAGGACTTGGACTTGACTTGGACTTATGGGCCAGTGACTCGAGACTCGACTTGGACTTGCCTGTATTTGACTTGGGACTTGACTCGAACTTGAGGTCAGAGACTTGAGACTTGCAAAACGACAACTTGGTCCCACCTCTGAATCGTGATAATGATTTTTTTTTCCATAATCGAGCAGCTTTAACTCCAGGTCTTTTTTTGAGGAGTCAGTTTTGTGTAAATTTGGACGTTTAAATTCAGGAGAAAAGCTCCATACTCACATTTTCTCTTCTTATTGTCTGTGTCTCGGGAAATTGAACCCACATCCTCGTCATAACTGTATGTTTTTGTTTTCGTTTTTTTTGTTTTTTCAGGTAAATCTGCGCTGATCGTGTTAGCTCACCAGAACCCGAAGTCGTTCAACGCGGCGGCGAAAGATGTGGCGGTGAAGGAGCTGAAGAAGCAGGAGTTTAAAGTGACGGTGTCTGATCTTTACGCCATGGGCTTTAAAGCCACCGCCACCAGAGAAGACTTCACCGGTGAGGACTGTTCATCAAAGCTGCACTGTGTCACTTTTCAGGTAGAGGGTCGATGGAGATCTTACTTCTTTGCTCGGAATGTTCCACAATGTGCCAGAAAACTTATCTATCTCATATTAAGTCAATTACAGTTATTTTTATTGCTTAAAAATACCTTGAAAATATCCATTCTCATTGTCAGCGCAGTCTCCTCTCCACAGATCTGACGTAGATACGATATATTTCAAATCAATTCGATACAGTTCAATAAAAAAATGAAGTCTAAATCAGGGCTTTGTTAAACCACTTCTTGTGCAAAGTTCATATGAAAAACACAAACATTTTAATCATCGAAACTGAAAATGTCAAATGTGACGCATAAACGAGTTTCCTTCCTCTAAACAAGCAACGAAACTGTAGCTGTAACAAAATAATTTAGTAAAATACACCAAAAAAATCCTCTTGGCGATATATCGATACAGCAGCCCACGATATCGATACTGTATCATCCCATTAAACGACACGATATATCGATATTTTGATATTTTTGCACACTCCTAGAGGGAACTACATAGACCATGATCCTTTGCTCCATTTCAGTGCAAACTACAAGAAGAAATAACAGTTCTAACACTTTTAAGTCTTAGTTATTTGGATTAAGTCTTGTCAAGGTATTTTAAGATGAAAAAGTAGCAGATTAACAGTTTTGTCTGTTGTTCGCCTCCACAAAATATCGCAATAAATATCGTACCGTGACATGGAAATTGTGAAAATACTGTACAGATTTTAAGATTTGTACAGATTTTGAGAGAGATTTGGATATTGTTACATCCCTAATCATGAGCTTTCCCACAATATTGCAATAAATATCGTACCGTGAGGTTCATACCGTGACGATGTCGTATCGAGAGACTTTGATATAATTACACATCTACTTATAATTTATGACATTTGTAAATTATTATCTCATATTTGGACATTTGAAATGGTAATAATCATCTACATTGAAAAGAAAAGAAAAAGAAACTCCTGCGGTATAAAATATTATTTAAAAAATGTGAACTGACGTCACCGTAAACATGAGAAGGAGAAATATGCTTAAAAGCGCTGAAAAGGTAATTTTACAGACGCGCTTTGCTTTAAGACCTTTTTAAGTAAGTAAAACAGAAAAATAACTTGAGTACTTCATGCGACGTACTCTTCTGTGAACCTGTTGCCCTGACCTACAAAACAAGTTGATACCATGAACTTTCGTCAGCGCTGCACCACAGACCACAGCTTCCTCATCACAAACGTACATTTAAGTTTTGTTTCGTTCACTCATGTTTAACACACAAACTCTGCAGATTCAGGCTGAATCATCAGGTTTGTGAAGTTTAAGTCCACCACTTTTGGACAGAACTACTTCTCTGTTAAAGCAGCAAAGGCCTGGAAACCTGCACATCTGTCTGTGTGAGGAAGTTTAAGCACTGAGGGACATTTTAAACTCAATAGAGATGTAACGATATCCAAATCTCACGGTACAATATTATCACGATTTCCATCTCACGACACGATATTTTGAAGAGGCTGTTATAATTGTAGATGGGACACTTTTTTGCTTTTAAAATACCTTGAAAAGATTTTGGTGTGAATTATTTCCATCATAATCCCAAGAATTCAAGTAAAAAACATATTTCTTCATGTTGTCTGCGCTGAAATGAATCATGGGAGATGTAGTTCCCAATGTTTTTAAGCTGTTGCTACTGTAAAACAATGCATTTAAACAAAGGAACTTGTGATTCGATATATTGTGACAGAGACTTTTGACGATACGATATCACAATATTTCGGTTATTGTTACATCCCTAAAATTCAATATTAAAAAGTGGCTTAAAGTGAGTCAGAGCTGTAGCCTTTAGTGATCGTTTGTCTGTAGAAATAATATATCTAAATATTATAATGCAAATAACATGTAAATATTTGTAAGTTTCCATTGGAGCGATGGTGAACTGCTCCCCCTGCTGGTGACATTTGGTTGTTGTTTGTGTTTTTTAGCTGTTTTTTAAATGACTGTACTGTAGGTTAGGCAGCACTCACAGTCATCACATGCATATCTACAGAAACTAGAAGGTCTAAGCTTTAAAACGATGCATCAGACAAGCACGTGGGTTCTAAGGTTTTTTTGTAATAAGCTATGACATTTGGGTATGTATCACTATCGTGCACACGCCAAAATGAGGTGGGTGGGAACAGGTTAATGTTACATGGGACATTTTAAGAAGTACCTACACACTGGTACCTGCTGTCTCTTCGGTTTTGTCCGTGAAAATACAGATGAAAATGAACTTGTGGCTAAATCTGGCCTGTGCATTACTTTTACTGTGCAATGTCCCTGTCAGATAAATATCAGAGTAGCTGCGAGGTCTTAAAACTCTTAAAAAGGTCTTAAATTTCATGTTCCTAAATTAAGGCCTTAAAAAGTCTTAAATTTTGTTGTCCAAGTCTTATTTTTTTCGCAAAGGCCTTAAATTTCATTAGCCTGTTTTTTTTTTTTTTGGTGAACTCAACCAGGCTGCAGTGCGACGTTAAACAGGGGGGAAAAAAAAACGTGAAATCATGTAACGTGAATGAACGTCTAATTTGGAGTCTGTGCAAACAATATTTTGGTTTCCGACGGCAATGAGTAAAAAACCAGTAGAGTGGAGGAAGAGGCTGGATGGATCAATGGGGAAGTGTCGGTTTAATCCACGGTGGCTCTTAGATTCTAGATCAGGGGTGTCCAAACTTTTTTCATCAAGAGCCACATGTCAAAACACTGATGAAGCAGAGAGCTGATCGAGGGCCATCGACTGGTGATCAGTGCAGTGAATAATTGAAATATGTGCATTTTTAACATGTTAGAATGAACCATCAGGCCTCTGTTCAAGCCTACACTCTCAAAGGTACACAGTAAACATTAGATATTGGCTTTATCGAGGTAGATTTTCACATAACTTGTAGTAAAAAGTCGGGATGGGCATTCGATGAAATTTTCTTAATCGTTCGTCGGAAGAATTAACAATCGATTATCGATTAATCATTAATGTTTTTATATTAAAATGATCATCATTATTATTACTATCTGCACTACTAATCTGCATAAATAAATTCAACTTTACGACATATAAACCGTAACGACTCTAGAGCCACATCAGCCCGTTTGACATTATAATGTGTTTAATTCAGTTTTGTTCAAATCTCACAGAAACAAAACTTAAAACAGCATCGCTAATTTGCATAAACTAAGCGAAGATAAAACTACAGCTCTTGTGTCGCTGATGTGGTTCAATTTCTGTTCGGATTAAAAGACATGACTCAGGTGAATACAGGTTAGTGTGACCAGATTTGCGTTTGTCAAAACCAGGACAGCGTACGGGGGGAGGGGGGCGGGGCCTCGTCATCAACATTGCGCGACTCTCACCTGGAAAAACTTTTTCCCACTGGACACAGAAACATATGTTTCTGCTTTGTGCACATGGACTCACACTTGTCCTGAACGCAACGGAAAGTGTGGAATTTCTTGTACAAATCATCGTTAAATACACATTTGTGCTTCGGTTCGTTACAGACTGACCCACTGTTTCTGTTTGTGTCTCGCTCCTTCTGATGCAGAGACACATGTACACACCTGTTTGGTGACGCTACACACAGCAACCTACATTCGGTTTGTCGATTAAAATGAACGTAATTGATTAAATTCTTAATGATCAATTATCGATTAATCGATTAATCATGCCCATCCCTAGTAAAAAGTACTTAAGGTAATTTGGTCAATTCACCTGGAAGCCTCAGGGCCAAGAATAACTGATATGAGGGCCGCGTTTGGCCCCCGGGCCATAGTTTGGACATGCCTGTTCTAGATGTAGTAGTTGGTTTGATCTAGTGTTTTTCATCCGCAAAATGGGTGCAATGTTGGTCTTAATTTTCATTTAAATGGTCTTAAAAAAAATTTGAGGTAGTCAAACCTGGGGATACCCTGAACAAATACATAAATACATAAACTGAAAACACTCTATTCCACCTCGTGAAGTCATGAGGTAATACAGGAAGTGCTCCACTGTGTTTTTAAACTACACACACCTTCACTTGAATCATTTGGATCATTTCAGCTCTGGAATCGCCAATCTCTACTGAACTAAAAGTAAAAGGTGAACTTGAAAACTACAGCTACGTGACATCACAAGGTGGAACAGAGCTTTGGAGATGTAGACAGACTAATAATAGAGAGTTACTCAAACATGTGTGAATGAAACAAAACACACCTCCAGGTCTGTTTCTGAGGAGGGAACAGTAGGACCTGTAATTGTTTTTCCCTGTGGCAGTTCCCTCTCCTGCCAGTAGATGGAGCCATACACCAAGTAGTGGTAACGGCTGAAACATGACGCCTGGTTCTAAGCAAAGTCATTATTTTTTAAATCTAAAACACGAAATACTTATCCATTTTGCGTGGATTCTTGCTGTGAGCGGAGCTGCCTCTTCACAGATCTATTATTGGCATGTTGGCCCCACCCACTTGGTTCCATAGAGACTGATTTACTTTAATACAATACTGTGAAATATTCTAGATGAAGCTATAACATCTCCACGGAGACAAATAAGTCACTTAAACCAGTAAGATTATGGTGAAACTAAACTTTTAAAAACACACGTTACATCCAGACTACTTACTTTTCCTTGAGTAGTAGTTTACCCAAATACTTTTTAATCCTACTCCGTGTAATTTCTTCGACCATATTTTGTACTTCTATTTCAAGTAATATTATTCTGAGTTGCTACTCTTACGACCACAGACTGTATATAGAAATAACTCTGTCTGGATCTTCTCCTGCACCTGTGGTTGACGTCGTGTCCGTTTTGTAGGAGAGCTGAAGAACCCAGACCACTTCCGTTATGGAGAGGAGGCGGGGGCGGCCTATAGAAACCAAACCCTCGCTGACGACATCAAGAAGGAGCAGCAGAAGGTTCAGGAAGCCGACCTCGTTATCTTCCAGGTCAGAGGTCAACACTGTCATAATTATCATAATGAGACTGGACTTGCCTCTCTACAGACCTGACACGTATTTGTCCTGGAGGAGGCCGACTGCTGCGTGTTTCCATGGAAATGTCATAAATGTCATAAAACTTTCTGTGGACGATGTTCCAATGTTTGGGTTTAACTTTCTATTTCCATTGAATCAGGCAGGTGAAGTTCCACCTGCAGAAAGTTACACATTGTTGTTTTAACATTTTATGGAGAGTATGAGTTTGTGATGCCTCCTGGGCTCTTTCTGGAGCATTGAGAAATTGCTCTCTCTTTGAAATACTCGACAGACTCTGTTGGCTCTGAATGAAAACAGGAGTCACCTCAAAGGCCTGAACAGAACTGTGGATTTAACAAAAAGAAAATCTGAAATTCGAGCTGTGAAAGAGTCGATAAGAGACAATCCAATTAATCAACACTCACAGAAAACAAGCAAATGGAAAACTGTCCATTAAAGTGAAAAAAAAAAACCTTGTTCAGACTGTAAAGCGTTCCATACTCTGCCATTATAAATATATTTGTCTGTGTCCAGTTCCCGATGTACTGGTTCAGCCTTCCTGCCATCCTGAAGGGCTGGGTTCGATCGAGTTCTCACCGGAGGATTCGCTTATTCTCAGGAGAGGATGTACGACACCGGCGTCTTTAAGGTGACTGAAAGGATTTTTCAAAAATGTTTTACTTGTGGGTGTTGAAAAAAACAGATGTGTGACGGTGTGAAAATCTAGGCCATTTTATAATGATTAAATTGTTATTTGAAACATAATAATACTAAAGTTTTATTTTAATTTCAATCCTCTGTATATTTTCCTTGCAGGATAAAAAGGCCATGCTGTCGTTCACCACTGGAGCAACAGAGAGCATGTTTCGTCCTGAAGGCCTCAACGGAGACATCAACGTGACTCTGTGGCCTGTGCAGGTCAGTCTCTGCTCCTCTGACCCTCTGACCCTCTGACCCTCTGATCCTCTGACCCTCTGACCTTCTCCTCTGCATCACCAAAAACAGTTTCTTTATCTGTACTTTATTTTAACTTTGCATGATCCAGAATACACACTTCTCCAATACTTTACAATGATCTAGTCACTGGTGAATCTCCTCATTTTCAGATGATTTACAGATAAATTCAGGGACATGTGTGGTCCATCCTCAAAATAAATGTGGCTTTTGAGGATTTAATAAAGGACAAAAGCTCACAGGGAACTGAAAAACGCGTGATGGAGCGACTCAGACCAGACTGTTTTCACTCTGTGTAAAAAATGCAGACGAATCATTCCAGGCCAATCTTATCTCACTGTACATCTTTTGTTTCTTTTTCTCTAGAACGGCGTACTGCGTTTCTGCGGCTTCCAGGTCCTTCCCCCTCAGATCTTCTTTGGTCCCGGCCACTGCCCCGACCCCGTGCGCGCCGCTCTGCTGGAGGCCTGGGGGCAGAGACTCTCAGGGATCATGTCTGAGGCTCCGCTGCAGTTCGCCTCCACCGGCCTGTTCGATCTGAGCTTCCAGGGCGGATTTAGTCTCCGTCCGGAAGTGATGAAGGAGAGAGAGTCGCAGCCCCACGGCTTCAGCGTCGGGCACCACCTCGGAAAACCTCTGCCCCCCAACAACCAGGTTAAAGCTCCAACAGGGGGCGCTGCAGGGACCACTGACAGCACTTAGAATGAACCTGCATAATACTGTATTTATACAAATCAGCTGTACTGTATTTGTGTTCATACTAACGATTGTGTTTTAATATCACTGTTTTGCAAATAAAGCAGCAGTTTTACTCACCTTACACAAAAGTTAATGCTGTTTTTCTGTTTTTCATTATGACTTTTTTTAATTTAAAGTGTTATAATGTAGTTTTATCGTCACAAACAGACCTGGTGTTCTGTTTTGTTTCATTCACACATGTTTAACACACAAATCCTGCAGATTTAGACACAAGAAACAAGCAGATAACAGTCCCCCAACCAAAAACGTTCCTTTAAATTAACCATTTTCATCCATATTTCAGCTTCCAGTGCACAGAAATACAAAACGTGAGCTGCCGAAGTGTATTTACAGCAGGATTTATGAGCAGAAAATACAGCTTCACTAGAATCATTTGGATAATTTCAGATCTGGAACTGCAAATCTCTACTGAACTAAAGATAAAAGGAGCTGTTAACTTCAAAACTACCACTACATGACATCACAAATTAGAACAGAGCATTTTGAGTTATGGAGATGTAGACACACTAATAATAAAGTGCAATGTGTGAATGAAACAAATCACAACTCCAGGTCTGTTTTTGAGGAGGTAACAACATTATAACATTACTTAAATTTCACAAGAGCCAGTTTGGAGTTTTGCAGTTGAAAATTTCAAAATAAAAAAACTGGGACATCCCCGTTTTTTTGGTGGTTGGTCACAGTAAAATTGTGAAACGAGTGCGTAATTAAGGAAAATTGTTATGCAAAGACCATTCATGACTTCGTGTCCCTGTTTACCCGGGACAGTCCCAGTTTTGAGCCCTGTGTCTCCTGTCCCAGCAGATTTATCCAAACCAGTGATTGGTCCAAGTTTTATACAAGAAATGTCCCTGATGTCACTATTTTTGACCAATTTCATCCTCGCCAACAATACAGCGAGGAATAAATGCTCATTTGTTTGGGTAAAATACAGAAAAGCTGCTTGAAAATTACAAAAACAGAAAGAAAATGTGATTATACTGACTCACATTAGTGCCGAGTTCTTAACAAATTTCCTTAATTACGCTCTAGTTTCACAGTTTTATTATCAGCAGCAGTGTTGGGGAGTAACAGATTACATGTACCGGAGTTACGTAATCAGAGTACAAATCATGAGTAACTGTATTCAGTTAGTTACTGTTTCAGTGAGTGGTAAATAGATTACAGTTACTTTGTTGAAATAAATGGATTACAGGCGGTATTTTCCTGTTTTCACATTTTTGGCTAAACCAGGACTAAACCAGGATTAAACCAGGATCTAAACCAGGAACTAAACCAGGACTAAACCAGGACTAAACCAGGAACTAAACCAGGACTAAACCAGGACTAAACAATATGACACCTAACAGTAGGTGGACATAACTGAAGGCAGCAGTGATCTCATATAAAAATAATTTCTCCATCAATAATATTTTTCAATACGGATAAGCACCTATCTACCTAACCCTAAGACTGGGCTTTTTATTTTATTTTAGCAGACAAAACATCTTATGTTAAAGTATTCTAGACTGTGCTTCTCTACAGCAAACAATTACCTGTTCATGGAAACTTGATAATCTGAAGAGAACAAAAAACAATTTTCAGGATGTGGTTGGTACATTCATGTAGTTTTAAAAAGCAAGACAATATCAAATAATCCAAAGTATTCAGATTACGTTACTCACTTTAAGTACTTTAATGGATTACGTTACAAACTACATTTTGGGGTATGTAATCTGTAATCTGTAGGGAGATACATTTAAAAAATAACTGATTACCAACCACAACAAACAAGTGACGTCCCAGTTTTTTATTTTGAAAATCTGGTCACCCTACTCATAACTAACATGTGAGCCAGTATAGTCACATTTTCTTTCTGTTTTGGTCATTTTTAAGCAGCTTTTCTGTATTTACAGGGATCAGATTGGTCAAAAATAGTGACACCTGGGACATTTTCTTGTATAAACCGGGACAAATCACCGGTTTTGTGGTTTTGGATAAATCTGCTGGGACAGGTGACACAGGCCTCAAAACTGGGACTGTCCCGGGTACATAGTGACATCTGGTAACCCTAGTTTCCATAGTCACTAGAATCTTCCACTTTATGGCATTACAGCGCCTAAAAGCGGGACACGTGGTTTCTGCTTCCGCTAAAAACGCTCCCAGAGAATAAAACACTTTAGGTCACTTAAAATAGCACATATTGTTCCCACATTCATATTACACTGACACCATTTCACACGGTCTACATGTAACGGGGCCTCCGCACTGTTTATGTTTATGTAAAACTTGGCGCAGTCGCAATAGGGGTGCCAAAAATATTTAAATCGATAAATTTCGCAATAAAAGTTTATAAAATTACACCAAAACGAAATTAATCACATTAGGAAACACGTACTGGTTAATTTTGTGGAAAATAAATGAGCAATTACAACATATTTGACGATTTGCGATTTTTTTTTTCGGAGTGGTACGGTCCGAAAGTGACGTAATGTCGGAGGCAGTGCTCAGCTGTTTGTTGTTTTTGAGCTGCTCCTGTTGGCATCGTCCCTCGTCTCTCTGTCTCTCTCTCTTTAAAAGCAGAAATAACCACATTACGACAAAATAACGCCGTGAAACTACAACTTTATCACTTTTACGAAGCGCTTGGTCGCGTTTAAAGTCATCTCCACCGAGCGACAAAAGCGCAGGAAACATGAAATGGATGTTCAAAGAGGATCACTCCTTAGGTAAGACGATGGGGAGGGCGAAATGTACCAAAATACGACATTAAAATTTAACATCAACGCTTGCAAATAGGTTATAGAATCCTTAAAACTGTCTCATAATGTCTAAACGCGGTGCTAGATTGCGTTATTTTTGCATATTGCGATGTAATTCCAACGCCATGGCCTGTCCTTCAGAGCTTTTGTTTGTGCATATCGTATCTCGCTGTATCGAAGGGACATTAAATAATCAAATAATATAACGCGTGCCAGCTCGTGCATGCAAAACCGAGCTTTATCATAACATTTAACGCGGAATTTTCACGCTATTTCGGCTTAATTCGTTGCATTTGTCTCGCTGATCGTCACCGCTCGGGGCTAAAGAAGTGGTCGATATTGGTGTTTGCAGAAAAGCGGGTTTAAGCTTCGACCCTGGGGGATTGCGAACAGTAATTACAATGTTATTAAAGTGGTATTACGCAAAAAAAAACGTGGTCATGTCGGTGTAATTATGCAATGTTTCGATCTGGGTCAAAAAAAATAAAGGCCTAGGCGTCACCATAAAGTTGTTTTGGTGCGGGCCCGGAAGCAGCCTCCACCTAAAATGTGACAAACACAATAACAGCATTTTAATACTAATAAACACACACAGATGGACTATTTCTTATTAAAAAGCTACGTAGCAATGAAGTAAATATAAAAAAAAATGCTAATGTACCTTATCCTTTTTGCTTGAAAGTGGAAACTGCATTTATCAACACAATAGGATAAGATACTACGACTGATACTGCTACTTTTGCTTCTACTACTGTTATGAAATAGTGTTTTTGTAATCCAATAATCACATAACATTGGCTTTTTTAAGATAAGTTAAAGACCAACTTAATAATATAAGACATTTTTACTATATTGTTAAGTTTTATGACATTAATAACTGCATTTGTGTACAAGTAAAACTGTAAAATGGACAATTTCTTAGTTAAAAAGCTACTTAACCATGGACTAAATGTTAAAAAAAGATGTTAATGTTTGGTCTTTGCTGTATTTGCCTCTTGCTACTCTTATGAAATAGTGTTTTTGTAATCCAATAACCATATAACATTGGCTTTTTTAAGATAAGTTAAAGACCGACTTAATAATATGACACATTTTTACTATATTGTTTAGTTTTTTGACATTAATAACTGCATTTCTGTACAAGTAATACTCTAAAATTGACAATTTCTTAGTTAAAAAAGCTACTTAATAATGGACTAAATGTTTGGTCTTTGCTGTATTTTGCTAGAAACTCTCTGTATTTGTCCTATACAATAGAATAAAATAGGCTACTACCACTATTACTGCTACTTTTACTACTTTCGTGTGATGAATTTGTGTTTTTGTAATCCAATCCTGCTGTAACATGGACTATTTTACGATAAATTAAAGATCAACTTAATAATATAAGACATTTTTACTTCATTGTTTAGCTTTATAACATTAATAACTGCATTTTAATACAAATAAACACACAGAGATGGACTATTTCTTAACAAAAAGTTACTTAACAATGGACTAAATGTAAAAAAAAGATGTTAATGTTTGGTCTTTGCTGTATTTGCCCCTTATTACTGTTATGAAATAGTGTTTTTGTAATCCAATAACCATATAACATTGGCTTTTTTAAGATAAGTTAAAGACCAACATAATAATATGACACATTTTTACTATATTGTTTAGTTTTTTGACATTAATAACTGCATTTGTGTACCAATAATACTCTAAAATTGACAATTTCTTAGTAAAAAGCTACTTAACAATGGACTAAATGTTCAAAAAAGAAGCTAATGTTTGGTCTTTGCTGTATTTTGATAGAAACTCTCTGCATTTGTCCATACAATAGAATAAAATAGGCTACTACCACTGTTACTGTTACTGCTACTTTTACTACTTCGTGTTATGAATTTGTGTTTTTGTAATCCAATCCTGCTGTAACATGGACTATTTTACGATAAATTAAAGATCAACTTAATAATATAAGACATTTTTACTTCATTGTTTAGCTTTATAACATTAATAACTACATTTTAATACAAATAAACACACAGAGATGGACTATTTCTTAACAAAAAGTTACTTAACAATGGACTAAATGTAAAAAAAAGATGTTAATGTTTGGTCTTTGCTGTATTTGCCCCTTACTACTCTTATGAAATAGTGTTTTTGTAATCCAATAATCCTGTAACATTGGCTTTTTTAAGATAAGTTAAAGACCAACATAATAATATGACACATTTTTACTATATTGTTTAGTTTTTTGACATTAATAACTGCATTTGTGTACCAATAATACTCTAAAATGGACAATTTCTTAGTTAAAAAGCTACTTAACAATGAACTAAATGTTTGGTCTTTGCTGTATTTTGCTAGAAACTCTCTGTATTTTGTCCATACAATAGAATAAAATGGCTACTACCACTATTACTGCTACTTTTACTACAACTAATATTATGAAATAGTGTTTTTGTAATCCAATAATCCTGTAACATTGGCTTTTTAAGATAAATTAAAGACCAACTTAATAATATGACACATTTTTACTTTATTGTTTAGTTTTATGACGTTAATAATGGGATTTGTGTACCAGTAATACTCTAAATTGACAATTTCTTAGTTAAAAAGCTACTTAACAATGGACTAAATGTTCAAAAAATATGTTAATGTTTTGTCTTTGCTGTATTGTTCTAGAAACTCTCTTTATTTGCCCATACAATAGAATAACTACTGCTACTTTTTGTGTTATGAAATTGTGTTTTTGTAATCCAATACTGCTATAACATGGACTATTTTAAGATAAATTAAAGACCAACTTAAGAATATAAGACATTTTTACCTCATTGTTTAGCTTTATAACGTTAATAACTGCATTTTAATACTAATAAACACACAGAAATGGAGTATTTCTCAGTAAAAAGCTTTAACAATGGACTAAATTGTTCGAAAAAAAGAAGTTAATGTTTGGACTTTGCTGTATTTTGCTAGAATTCTCTTTATTTACCAATACAATAGAATAAAATAGGCTACTACTACTATTACTGCTACTTTTACTCTTACTACTGTCATGAAATTGTCTTTTTGTGATCCAATAATCCTGTAACATTGGCTTTTTAAGATAAATTAAAGACCAACTTAATAATATGACACATTTTTACTTTATTGTTTAGTTTTATGACGTTAATAATGGGATTTGTGTACCAGTAATACTCTAAATTGACAATTTCTTAGTTAAAAAGCTACTTAACAATGGACTAAATAGAATAAATATTAAAAAAAAGAGGAAGATGCTAATGTAACCTATCATTTTTGCTATATTTTGATGGAAAATGGAAACTTTATTTACCAATACAACAGAATAAAATAGGCTACTACCACTGTTACTGCTACTTTTACTATTACTATTGTTATGAAATTGGGTTTTTGTAATCCAATCCTGCTGTAACATGGACTATTTTAAGACAAGATATTATAAGGCATGACTTTATTGTTTATCTTTATAACATCAATAACTGTAATGCTGCACTTTAATACTAATAAACACACAGAAATGGAGTATTTCTCAGTAAAAAGCTTTAACAATGGACTAAATGTTCAAAAAAAAGAAGTTAATGTTTGGACTTTGCTGTATTTTGCTAGAATTCTCTTTATTTACCAATACAATAGAATAAAATAGGCTACTACTACTATTACTGCTACTTTTACCACTACTACTGTCATGAAATTGTCTTTTTGTGATCCAATAATCCCTGTAACATTGGCTTTTTAGAGGTAAATTAAAGACCAACTTAAGAATATAAGACATTTTTACCTCATTGTTTAGCTTTATAACATTAATAACTGCATTTTAATACAAATAAACACACAGAGATGGACTATTTCTTAACAAAAAAAGCTACTTAACTAGTGAATAAATGTTTAAAAAAGATGCTGATATTTGCTTTTGAATATATTTTCCTAGAAACTCTCTGTATTTACACAATAGAACAGGCTACAACTACTACAGCTACTTTTACTATTACTACTGTTATTAAATTGTCTTTTTGTAAATAATGCTGTAACTTGGATTATTTTAAGATAAGTCAAAGACCGGCTAAATAATATAAGAGGTTTGTACTTTATTGTTTCGCTTTATAACATTAATAAAAGCATTTTAATACAAATAAACACACAGAGATTGACAATTTCTTAACAAAAAGTTACTTGGCATTGGACTAAATGTTCATAAAAGATGCTGATGTTTGCTTTAGGTTATATTTTGCTAGAAACTTTCACATACAATAGAACAGGCTACAACTACTACTACTACTACTGCTACTTTTACTATTACTACTGTTATGAAATTGTCTTTTTGTAATCCAATCCTGCTGTAAAATGGACTATTTTAAGATAAATTAAAGACCAACTAAATAATGTAAGATGTTTGTACTTTATTGTTTAGCTTTATAACATTAATAACAGCTTTTTAATACTAATAAACACACAGAGATGGACTATTTCTTCACAAAAAGTTACTTAACAATGGACTAAATGTTCAAAAAATATCCTAATATTTGCTTTAGGTTATATTTTGCTAGAAACTCTCTGCATTTACACATACAATAGAACAGGCTACAACTACTACTGCTACTTTTACTATTACTACTGGTATAAAATTGTCTTTTTGTAATCCAATCCTGCTGTAACATGGACTATTTTAAGATAAATTAAAGACCAGCTAAATAATATAAGATGTTGTTAGTAATTGTTTAGCTTTATAACACTGATAGCAGCATTTGTAAACAAGTAATACTCCAAAATTGATCATTTCTTAGCAAAAAGCTGCTTAGCAATGGATTAAATATTAAAAAAAAGATGGTGATATTTGCTTTTTGCTATATTTTGCTGTAAACTCTGCATTTACACATCCACCATGCTACTTTTACTGTTACTACTGTTACGAAATCATCTTGTATGTAATCCAATCCTGCTATAACATGGACTATTTTAAG